ACCGCCGGCCCTTCACCTGCCTGCGGCCTCTGGGACAGGCTCCGGCCCCTCAAGGGAGAGGGGTCTGGGGGTCTGTCTGTGCGCTGCTGCACGTCAGAAGTGGAGGAGTTTGTCCCTCTGTGGGCCAAGGCTAGAGGGCTCTCGTGAGGGCTGGAGTGGTTGCTGTGAACATTGCTGCTAACAACACTTTGCAATGCTGTGTGTTACTGTGGGCATAATAAAATTTGTATCGTGGTAGTTGTTTGCTGACAAGGTGAAGTTCAGTTGTATCATCAGTGGTTGTAGGGGTTATCTCTCAATTTTTATGTCTGCATAAAATGGGGGGGGAAGGGTTTTGATTATTTCAGGTTGTGGAGAAAACTTTTCCCCTGCAGATTCATGCACTTGATAAGTAGTACAGTTGAGATCCTATGGTAACCTGAAATCTCAGTTTCACACAAGTAACTTTAGAAATAAGCATCCAGCCTCAAACTGTTCGTCCGTTGCACAGAATGTGCATGTTTTACACTCTTGGGAAACTTAGCGTTGCAACATAAAACATTTTAGTCCTGATTCTGCCAGCTTTATTAGGGTGCCTCTGGTGAAAGTATTTCTCGAGTCAGGAGATTTTACTTGTTATCTTTTCTGCTGCTGTGATGGATAAGAAAGTAATTTCCTTAACATGACTGTTACTGTTTAGTAGTGAAACAGGATGGTTGCCATAATATAAACTAGTTTTTTTTTATAGTTTCAGTGAATGTGTTTGATACTAATATTAAAATGCTAGTAGTGGCCAAGGTACTTGCTTATATGTTTGGGTATGAACTTGTGATTGCTTAAGCTAAACTAGTACTGGTAGTGGAAATTTTTCTGATAATCTTTGTCTCATAGATTTGCTTAAATTGTTAGGCAAGAGGAGTGCTTCAAATGCAGGTGTGAGAAGGTACGAAAACATTTCTTTCCATTTATTACAGTACAGTATAGCTAGTAAGTGGCTTACTACACTTCTTGCTCTAGGTGTGTAGCCACTATGGACAGAATCTGTACTGAATCCTAACTAAAACTTGCTTGGACGCAGTGCAGTGTTGCAGAAGTAAGACCTGCCCATGGCATACTGTGTCTGTGACCTCAGATCATTTAGTCTGACCACATGCGTTAGTGATTGAAAGAAGACAACCTTCGCACCCATTGCTAGGTCTCCATGGAAAGTAATAAAACCCAATAACCCACCAGTGCTCAAACTGTTTGGAATTAGAGGTACAGCTTTCTTGGAAAAGCAAATGGCTGGAGTCTGAAGGGCACCCACGTAGCACTGGAAGTAGCATCATAGAGAGAGCAGTGCCCTAGCTTGTATCTGTGTGCAGCAGTGAAGCAGCTTCATACGCATTTATTTCTGATTTTATAACAATGAGGTCTACTGTATACTCTCAGCTTTATTTCGTATGTATTTCATACTGCATTATGTAAGGAATAATTTTTTTATGACGAGGGTGGTGAAACACTGGAACAGGCTGCCCAGAGAGGTGGTAGATGCCCATCCCTGGAAACATTCAAGGTCAGGCTGGATGGGACCCTGAGCAACCCGATGTAGTTGAAAAGGTCCCTGCTTATTGCAGGTGCGTTGCACTAGGTGACCTTTAGAAGTCCCTTCCAACCCAAACTATTCTATGATTAAAGAGGATGGTATTCAAAAACTGTACCTGGAGGGTATTAGATATTTAAACTCCAAAGACTCGAGTAGCTTTAAAAGTTGTCGATTCAAAATACTTCTGTGAGTTCAACTTCCTTTTTTTCTTTGGTATACCATAAGCATGTGTATTGTAATGTAACACTCCTGAGACAGTTTGTAACTGAAATGTCAGAAATCAGCAGTGTGAAGAACAGGAAAAATTGTACCTGTTTAATTAAAACGTAGTGAATTTCTTCACTGTTTAACTGAGAAGGGATTTGACTTTTGAGTAAAATCAAAATAAAACCAAAACAGATTTTCTGAGAATAAAGAAAGCAAAGCTTGATGGACCTTGTTACCTCCAGTTTTCATTGGAAAGTCCTTAAAAATAAAATGTTGCTGTGGTAGAGGAATGATGCTTTAGTAGAGGAAAGAGCACATCTGTCATAGAGGTTGTGCCAAACTTCTTTGCATTGAGATTTCTAGAAATAAAAATGGAGGTAATCAATAGTTTTAATTTTTATCTCACAACTCTCTCTCTACGGAACGTGTCAATTGGATCATTTGGCATGGTATTAAGTTCTGCCACGGAATTCAGAGACTCTCTTTGATCTTTTGGTATTTCCTAAACTGAAAATAGGCTTATTCCATTTTTAATTATTTTATGTCTAGCTAATGCTTCCATCTGTGTCTTTTAAAATAGATTAGTTCAAAATTGCTGTGCATGTTAGAAATCCCATTTAATGTATTAACTTCACTATTAATGATAGATTTGTAGTTTCACAAAATACAGGTAAACCTCCAATTCTTTAAATAGGTCTTGAAAATTATATCTTCAAATCACAGGTTGGTAAAATGGATTGAATTTCTGATTCAAAGCAGAACTGATACTACCAAAACCATTGTAGAAGTAGAGGTATTGCAACTGGTGCCATATCAATGGACTACTGTCTATAAACTCAGATGGTAACTGACCCAAGTTACCATCTTAGTACAGTCAAGGTACAAGACTGATTTCCAAAGTTATTCACTGACCTCAATTAAAGAGATCCATATATTTTTAGTGGAAAAATCAAACCATTAATTATAACAGTGTTGTACACTGTTATAAAGCTTTTAATTACGTCTATACTTGTTTTTCTAGCAATGTGTACTTTTCTATATTTTACGCTATCAATCTGAAATTTTTAAAGTAATATTTATGAAAACCTTTTGATATTTACAGTTTTCACTGGTATAAAAAGCAGAAGTGGAAGGCCCAGTGAATGGGCACTTATGTCCAGTTAGTTAATGGGAAGAAAACTTGTTCAAACTGTTTAAAGGCCAGAACAACACAACAAGCTATCAGCAAAAGCAGAAAAATAACAGTTCAGTTTCCAAGCTGCAATATTTTTTTTTTTGATTGTAGAATTTCATTATGTTCCCCAGTATTGCATTTTAGAATCTTGTTTTTATTTCTTTCAGATTGCCGTGAGTTTCAGAGATCAGCCATGGGCATTAAAGGTTTGCAGGGATTTGTGGCAAGAGTTTGCCCTGATGCATGCAGAATGGTAGATCTGAGAGAAATGGCAGAAAACCATCGCATCGATCATCCTGATTTCCCACCTGTTATCGTAGTAGATGCCATGAGTTGTGTTAGATACTGGTACACACCAGAATCCTGGGTGTGCGGTGGCCAGTGGCGAGAGTACCTTGCCATTTTAGAGGATTTTATTAAAGCTTTTATGGCAGCTGGCATCAAGTTGGTGTTTTACTTTGACGGAGTGGTAGAAGATAAAAAGAGAGATGAGTGGATCAAACGAAGGTTGCAGAATAACAAGGAAATAGCCAGAATATTTCAGTTTATCAAGACTCACAGGAAGCAACCAGGGAGAGGAATGTTCGTTGTTCCTTCAGCTTTGCCTACTTTTACACGTTTTGCCCTGAAGTCGCTTGGTCAAAAAACAGTATGCACATTGCAAGAGGCAGACTTTGAGGTGGCTGCATATGGTTTGCAACAGAACTGCATAGGAATTCTCGGGCAAGATAGCGACTACCTCATCTATAATACATGCCCCTACTTTTCTATTGAGAAGCTCCGTTTGGACACACTAGTAACTGTTATGTACTCTCGAGAAGATCTTTGCCGTGCCTTGGGCCTTAGTTTGACACACCTCCCTCTCTTTGCTTGCTTGCTTGGCAATGATGTTGTTCCGGAAAGCTTGTTGGAAGGCTTTTGGCATAAATGTTTAGTCACCAGTCCCCACAAGAATAACAGCTACAACAGAAGAACAAATATACTTCTAGCTGTAGCAAATTACATCTCTAAAGTTCCATGCTCATACAGCAGCCTAAAACACTTGGAAGAGATGCTACCGTTGGGATCAGACAAGACATTACTTTACAGAGGAGTGGAGTCCTATCTTTTGCCTGGGCAGCAGTCTCCATGGATTCCTCCCAACATAACAAATTGCGAAATGTTCTCCCATCAGCACCAGACAACTGTGTGTCAAGATAAGGAAATCTTTCAGGTACCTTGGGTTTTTTAAAGTTTAATGGTCACTTTATTGCTATGACTACGTAGTGGAAGTTGGTAAGGAGTACACCGGACCTATTGATTTAAATTTGCTTGAGCAGAATCTTTTGTCTGTACAGCCATGGTTAGGACTATTACATGCATCACAACGAGGGCAGATGCAGCACATTTAATTAAAAGTGGTTCCTCTCTTTCTGAAGCGTCAGGCAGGTCAAATAATGGGAAGCAGCTCCTGTATAGGCCTATAGCTGGGCGTAGAGATGTACTTCCCATGTATTGCACAATGTCATGGCTTGCTTTTTACTTTGAGAACCCACAAGTCAGCTACAGCTGGTTAGTGGTCAGCTTGGCTGTGCCTGGCACATGCAGTCAAGGTATCAAAGGGAGCTGTGCTAAGAATGCAGAAGTTGAAATTGCTCCTGTGGAGGAGATGAGGAAGCATCCTATAAATCTGTATTTTGTGATTTTTGAATCAGGTTAATTATCCTTCAGATTCATTGTCCCTGAAGGAACCAAAAGCACTTTGAGTGGCTTGTTAATCCTTAAAAGGCAGGGCTGCACTAGCAAGTTTCACTTGTGGCTTCCCACATGGGCAGAGATGCACTGGTGTTGGGGTGAGAAATGGTACAGTCAGGTTGGGTCACTCTGAGAGATTGGATGTGTTAGCTAGGGTAGCCTAGCGAATAGAAAACTGAGCTACCTTGCATCAGAATTTATACAATAGTAGTAAGTCTAGAGTATAATTCTGTAAATTCATGGCAATTAACATATTGAGATTTAATTTAAAAAAAAGTCTATACAAGGTAGTGTATTTTAGACCCTATATTAGCCATCTGTTACTCTCTATTTTGTTAGGTACCTATAGACTTGAAATAGAGAGGGTTGGGTTTTTTTGTCTGTCTCTTACTTATCTTGAGCATTTTCTTGAGAAATATTTTTCTGTTTCCTCATATTACTCTAGAGTAATCCTATAATTTACATTTTCTAAAAAGACTCTCAGATATTTAAAAACTACATTGTAACCTATGCAATGCTCATCTCAGCTAAACTGAGAGATATTTCAGGGTTTTAATTAACCACACATAGATACAATACATGTAACTTTTGACTGTAGTAGTTAAATAGAAGACATTATTTAAAAGAAACAACAACCCTACATCCTAATAAAGTGTTGAAAAATACTGTTTATGCTTGAAGTGCAAGGAAAAAATAGCCAGAATGTAATTATCTAGGTTGGATTATGGCCAGGACAATAGTGGTAATACCCTTGCTTCTTAACAGAATGTACCATGCGGTCTTTATGACAAGCAGTCATTATTTCTTGGCTAGAACTTTCATTTGAAGGGTTGCAGTTCTCTTGCATCATGCTGAGCTACTGCTGTAATAAAATAATAATGTTTAGAAACTCCATTGAAGAATGCCTCACTGTTGATGCATAAATCCTATGTTAAACCAGTCCCTGGGCCAAGGAGATTACAAAGTTGTAGACATGTTAACTTGTCTTTTGTTTTTGTTACAGGTGTTTAAATATTTGTATATGTAATGTGTATGCTTTGCTTCATGTTTTGAAACCCCTATGTAGTTCTGCTTACCTTGCACATAATCTGAACTGCACGTAAATGAAATGCACAGCTCAGTTCCAGCCTTGAGGACAGCCTCATGTTGCTGCTTCTCTCAGAAAAGAAGAGCATAACTTTCTAGCTGACTGTAGGTGTAAATCAGAAGTATTTTTCAAGATACAGCATTGAATACAGCAATACTTTTGAAATCAGCTTGTATTCTTTTCAAGTATTTTCTTGCAAATTGCAAGAAACTAGAATTTTCAAATTATCTCATTTGTGACAGTGGTTTGTATGAAATAGTTCAATGCTTCTTTCAAATCATGCTTAGAAATACTTAATTCTTTGTTTTATACAAAAGTAGATTTGGGGAATTACATTGCTAACGTATATTAGGAATACTGAAGTATTTCCTCCTGGGCAACCATTAATGTATTGCTATCAGAAAATACTTTGTTGATTGGCATTGTACACAGAAGCCTGTCATTGATTTTATGCGCATGTGAGAATTTCTTCTGAAAGTAGGACATTTCAGAAGAATTAGTTTTGATCAGTAACGACCCAGTGATTGACTGCTGCTTTAACCTGCTGAGTTCCCAGGTTTGCAGATACTGGAATTCCACAGAAATGTTGGATTTGGCTATGGCCAGTGATCTGGTAGTTCCCAGTGAAAGAGGTGGTAACTGTGTGAATGGCACAACCCAAATAATACAGATAGCATGACAAATGGAGGGAATGCAGAGCCCAGAAACTCCAGTGCCTGCTCACCAGGCAGCATGGATCCAGGAGAATTTATTAGTGGCACCCCACAGAAATAATTGACTCTGCTCAGCTGTTTGAGCACCCCCATAGTTTTGATCTGAGGTTGTGAAGTAGAAAGTCTGTCTGGCTCTGCACTTGGCCAGTCCAGGCTACAAGTGTAAGTGGTTGAAATTCTGTGCTGCCTGAGGGCAGCCCTGTTGCTTTTGCATCTAAGCTGCTCCAGACCAGTGGTCCCTGTTGGTACTGAGGCTGCTTGTAGCCAGCTGCTGTAGCCAGAAGTATTTGCATACAGTGTGTGGTTAATATGCAGCCTGGGTGATACTGTGATTCTGCTTTTCAGCAACAGCCTGCAGACCTGGTTTTCCTCACTAGAGTAGATTGTGTTTCTTTTCTTGGGTGAAGTGCGGTGAAGTTAAGTATTCTAATTTCACCACAATGTAAACTATGCAAAGTCAGCTTGGGAAAGAAATGGAGCCATCTTATATAGTTCATCTTGCAATAAGATTAAAAATTTGGGTTTTGCCATGCCTTCATTCACTATTAAAGGAGGGAAGATACGTTTTCAGGTGACTTAAGGACGGCTGCTTATTTTTCTGTCTGAATTCAGAATCAATTTTAAGAATAATTACGCTCTAAAAAAACTGTCATTAAAAACCCCAAGTTTTAAGAATTTGAGGAGGGGCTAAGAAAGGCATTGATGGGTTTCCTGGGGATTCCTGTCCACAAAAAGATAGATAATAGTCTGAAAATATACTATACTGGTGTTATTTGAAAAAGCACTTGTTCCCTCCCTGGCCATTCCCTCCATTTCCACTGTAAGTACTGAAAGTACTATTTTCTTGAACAGTGAATACACTTTGTTACTTTGCGATCCTTTTGAATTTTGGAGATAATGCCGCCTTCTTTCTTTAAACAAACAGTTAGCTAAAGAACAGCATATCCAATCAGAAAATTATACAATCTTCAATATCCTGAGTAATGGAGAGATTGAGTGCAGCAACTCTTTGGAAGATGAATGTGATACAGAGATTCCTGGACAAGCACTTATCTACCGCCCTGCTCGTCAGCATATTTATTCTGTCTTGTTGGAATCTGGAAAAGGTAAGGATTAAACTACTTACATCATTATTCAAACATACTTTCAATTTTGAAATAGAAATCTTGAATTCATTGTTTCAGTGGCTATATCAGCATGGCATTTAGGATAAAAACTGTGAGCAGCCAAAGTGTACTTCTTAAGGAATCAAGAGAAAATGTGACAATGAAATTGCAGTTTTTCTACATGCTGTTCAATTTCAGTGCTTTTAAAGAGATTTTTAAAATTTGGTTTCTTTTCCTTGTTAAATGGGAAGTTTTGAAAGTTGTTAATGATCAAAAGATTGAGCAAAAGAATGACATTTAGAGGATTTTAAAAGTTTGAGAGGATGTGAAACCTCATGTTGCTTTGATAAGTGTAGCTCCTGATGAATTAGTGAGTTGTAATACACTTCTGCAAAACAGTAATGCACTGTTACAGTTTACCTTCTGTTGATTTTAAGTCTGCAATTTTAAGAACAGTAGATAGTCAAATATACTTACTGCAGTAATACAAATGCAAGTAGCCATGCCAGTGATTATTAGTTCTTTCATCAAAGTGCAAGAAAATCTGATTCTTTATCCAGTGGTATAAACAGATTCTGTGGCACGTATATATATCTGTGCTTCCATTCTTCTGTTGTAACAGGACAGAGAATTCTTTATTCACATCCTTGGACAAATTTTATGTTCTTAAGACTTCCATTAGTTAAAAGTTATCTTTACAGTGTCTTTTAGGCAGTGAGTTGAAAATTAAAAATGTACTGAACTTTTGTTCTTTCTAACATGTTGATTTCTCCTTGGTAATCACTTTACATTTTATTGATGAAAGTGCACTGCCATCAAACCTAATATTCAAACTATGTGCTTAGAAAGGCACAGAAAGGTAATTAAGTACATGACTTCCTTCAGCAACTAGAGGTTGAAGTTGTGCCATAATAGGGAAAAAAAATAGGAAAAACTGAATCAGAGTTTATATAGTCATTTGGAGAGAGTAACAAAAATCTCAGCAGTAATCATGCACATCTGTCATTTTTCATTTTTCGGCCTACTGCCTCTAAATTTTGTAGACAATTACAACTTGGTTGGGTTTTGTTTATTCCTCTAAGCAGCAGGATATTCACTGATGTTTTCAGAAACACCCAGACCAAAACTTCTAATTAACAATTGTTGCTGTGAAATGGCAGGGTAGTAGGCACATTTGCATTTGTGTTGCAGTGTTTGTAGTACTCAGATGAAGAAGATTAGAATTGAAATACAGAAACATTAATTTAGAATCTTATTGTAAATGAAATTCGAACCTGAAAGAGGTCTTCTTTTAAGAAAGTGATTTTAGAATAAAACCACAGATAACATGTATTATTTGTTCTCAGTTCATGCTTCAAATTCTAGAGATAATTTTCTAAATTATCCCTCAATCCTTAACCCTTCCAGAAAGGTAGGTAGAGTGTGTCTGCATGGGCACCCATATTAAATCTACATTTTTAGTGTGTGTATCTACCTCTTAACTGTTTTAACCATGTCACTTCCTTGTAGTTCATGGGTTGCTTTTTTACTCCAGTGTATAGTTGCTTCCAAGAGTGTAGATCATTAATCAGTCTGTATGGGAATTCATAAGTAAACGTCAGGATTATTTTTTATGAATTTGCTTCTAGACCTACTAGGAAGTTTTGTTCTTTGCAAAGTAAGTAGAATCCTTCGCCAGTTTCCCTCAGATGAGGTCAAGTTGACTGGTTTTTGTAATTTGATGAGGGGTAGGATGGGAAGAAGTAACCTACACTGCATGCAGGTTATAGTATAATGTGCAATTACTTTGGATAGCATTAAAAAGGAGCTTCTCAGAAGGAGTCAACCAATTAAATTAGTCCATGTGGAGTTTGCTGCCATTGTGATACAGTTGCTGATGTAGCTCATTTGAAGATAACTTGGCTAACTCTACACAGTGTTCTAGTTTGCAGTGGAGATGCATGTGTTAGTGATCCTCTTTTTTATTCCTTAAGATCCCTCAATTACAAGATTCCTGTGTTGGAAACTGACATCTTTGCAGTTTGCAAATCTGCTTATTTACTGTTAAATAAGGATAGCAGAGCAGCCAACATCTAGTAAAAGCAGCAGTTACAGTTGTAGTAAGAACAAGTTAAAAAATAATGTAAACTGTTTCCTCTATGCTGAAACAAGAAACTGTTACTTTTGAATGTCTAGGTTGAGATTTCCAAGGGTGCTCAATTTCTTAGGAGACCCAAGAATCCATAGGAGCTGGATGTTGTCATATCCTTTGAAATCACCCGCCTAGACCATGCCACTTTGCCTGAAGCCATAGTGCGATAAGCATTTCTTTTGCTGTCAGTGCCAGTTTAAGTAATTCTCTTGCATGGTCACTCATTTCAGTCCCTGTACAACCTTTCAGTTGTGCTGGTGCAGCTGTTCGTGCAGCTGTGTGGCAGCCTAGTCCCAGAAACTGAAAATATCCCCCCTCTCTCATCCCTCCCTTTCTTGCAGTCAGGTAACTAACCTGGTTCTGTTTCCCCATCTGACTCTGTGTAGCCACAAACAGCTGTGGTGAAACAGCCCGAGGGAATGGCAGGGAGTGGGAATGAGCAAATCGGTGGTCGCCTGTAAAAGTTAGCAGTGCTGCTGAAAGAATTGCTCATGAAACTATCTGTGCCTTTGGTAAACTTTTATATATGGTAGCATGTACGTACCTTTACTCATGGAAATGTTGCTGGAGTCACAGCTTTATTTTTGACCCTACAAAAATAAATAAGGGGTTGATGGTGATCCTGATAGTGTGGCATTTGTTGCCTATGTATTTTTAAAGTATCTTTATGATTATGAGCTATTTCTGATCATTACGTGGTATATTGCATCTAGTGATATATAAATTGTCAACTTTTAGTATCTTCCCTAGAAAAACAGTACTATTGGAAAAATTAAAGAAGGAGGGGAAAATAACGGTAAATAATGCACCTTGATAGGCCAGCCAAACTCTTTCTTTTGTGTACGAAGAGTTCAGAACAAAGCTGGCAGGTTTTGGCACTAGCGCAGCCCATGGAAATACCTGCACCTGCATGGCTGTTGGCAATTAGGAGCTTATGTAATGTAGCCTAAGCCCATGGCCAGCTCCTGGAAGTCCTGGCATCGCTCCCAGTTCTAACATTAGCAAACCAGACTGACCCTCGCTTTGACGCTGTCAAAACCAATCCGTTAGCAGAATTTTTGCCACTTAATCACCAGTGACCACTCAGGAGGGCTGGCATTGTTGCAGGTGTACAGGAGCACACATAACAGCGTTTCCAACTGTCTCATGTTTTGGTGTTTTGCACATAGTTGAAATTTTCCTTAGGCTGCTTAAGTGGTGCTTCCACAGGTTGTTCAGAATCTATTTAAACAAAGGAACTGCTATTTTTTTAATTTCACTGGTGATATTCTGTATGTGCATTGTGGGGAAAGAAGTTTGAAAAAATTACTGCTTTTTTCCAGAGATATTTCCATGCAGGGAGGGTTGGCATTTAGTAATCATGTCTCCATTTTGTTCTTGGTATGTTAATCTGCTGTCAGTTTGCAGGACCTTGCTTTCAGCTATATTTATTTGGCTACTTATGTGAACAGTAATATAACAATAGTGAAAAGCACTCAGCTGATGCAGTGCTATGTCCTGTACCAACATTTGCGTATATTAGAAGAACAAAACTAGAGGTTTCCTATTGACTTCTCTTTTTACTGTGCTTGAGCTCAATGGGTGATGTAAAAATAGTATTTCACTGGCATTTAGAATTGAGAGACATTTTGATAAGTTGTTCTGTGAGTTGTGGAATTCATAAAGAGCAACTCTTCCCACTAGCTTCCCCTCAGCAAAGCTTTTATGTTTCTGTGCTTCTTCCTAGCATCCTCCTGACTTCTCCCCATGTCCTTGACAATTCCCTCCTGCAATATATGGTGTTCTCAAGTATGTTACCTATTGCCTCCTGCTCTCCCCAAATCCCACTTACCTTTTTATGCAGCTCTAGTTCTTGCATGGCTACTTGTGTATTGATTTGCCATCCAGAGCGTTCAGATGCAACAGGAAACTTGACTTTCCTGCCTTCCTTTCAATTGGTGCCCTAACAGGATCCCTGTCAGCTGAGTCACTGGTTTCACAAAATATTTAGGAATTTAATACATTTGAAACTTCTCTGTCAGATTTAGTTGAAACAGAGCAGTGCATCTGTGAATTAATTGTAAGAAGGACAGATGTCCAAATTGTATTAGGCTTGCTTCCTTAAGAAGCCAGGCTAAAATTTGGGAGGCTGAGCGAGCTGAATAGATTGAATAAAGCAGAGTAATTTACGTAATAAATCTTAAAACAGATTGCTAAAACATCAAGATGTTTCTGAAAGTGACTTTGGGACATTAAATTGGAGGGGTTTGTTCATGAAATAGCACTTATCTTGATTTATAAACAAGGTTTGAGACTATTCAGCTACTGGAATGCAGTTTAAGGCTTTTTTTTTTTCCCACCAGTGTAGATATTTTTCATTTTATTCTTAATGTCATCAGTTTTTGAACAGTGAAGCATGGGAAGCCAGGTGTAATGCTGTCCCTTGTAGTCCAGCTGTTGGTTCTTCAGTCCCTCACCTTTATAAGGAGTTTGTGCTGCAGATCCATGGGTAAGGACGGAAGAAGCAGCAAGGCTGTAAAACAGCTTTTGTCGTGTTCTTTCCCCCCCTCTCTTATCCCTGACACTAGAACTCCATCTGAGGAATTTCTGGCTTTGCACCATAGCACACTGCTCGTTCATTCATGCCAACAGTCATTTGCAGCATTGAGCTATGAACGAGATCAGGAAACTAAGGTGACCAAACCTTTTGGGCTGGTGGAGGAAAGGGAAGGAGAGTGTTGGAGAGATTGTGCTTGTTTGTTTTAAACTAGGTGAAGTTTTTTATTAGAGTTCATAATGAGGCATCAGAAATACTTGTGCAGAAAAGTGCAGGGTGATTGGAATTGATGATAAAAGGCAGGAATTTTTAAGAACAGTGGCTTCAGCACTGGGTGGGAGCTGGAAGGAATTAGAGATGCAATTCTGTGAATCTGGAAAGGGACACGGGAAGGAAAAAAAAAAAGCTTTGAGATTTGCCTGGAAAAGATTTAAAACACTGTTCCAAGTGCCCAGGACTAGCTAAATCTGTTTACTTCATACTGTTTACCAGACTACAGAGAGTGGAAATTTAGGGCACTGTAGCGTGGTTACCACAAGCAAAATCTGAATAGAATGCAGAAGCACCATTTATAACAACGTTAATGATTCTAGGCTTTTTTTATGAAGAATTGCATTGGAATGATTATGAGCTGACTATTGGAAATTGGATAGACTGCATTTCAAAAATTCTTAAATGCTTGATTTTTTTCTGAGGGTACATTTTTTTTAAGTGTCAAGTAGTTAGATGCACAGCTCAAGTAGTGAAACTTTTAATTTAAGAGGCACCCTAGTCTTTACTGGGAGGCAGGGCAGAGTTGAGGTTAGGGGGTAGGAAGCCACTTGAGCTATTATGCATAAACAATTCCTTTATACTAGATAAAAAGTCTAGAACAATGGGCTGTAAAAGCTCTGCATCTGACGGTGGAATGACTCCATTGCTATCAGCTTTCAAATAGCCATCAAGGCCTCCTTATAAAGATTTTGTCTCAAACACTGACACAGGAAATGTCAGGGCAAGTTGGGAGGAGAATCATATTAATGAATGCCTGTATATGTGGCAGTGTGACAGCCCTGAGAGACTGAGGTAGCTCATGTAGGTCCCTAAGCTATGCCAGATGCCTCCACAGCTTCCTGAACTGGCTTGGAATGGGAAGGCCTAAAATTGGCTGAGAGCCCTTTTAGAATGCTTTCCACAGACTCTTGTACTTACATTTTTGGCTGCTGTTCCCAACTCCAAACTCATGTTTATAGTACATAATTCAAACTCTCTTCATTTGTTCTGATGATTTGTCATAAAGACACTAAAACTAATTTTTCTTGGTTTGGTTTGGTTTTAAAGAAGCTCAGAAAACAAGTCATTATGAAGTGACTTCTATTACTTTAGAATCCTGATCACCACTGCTTCCAACTTTTACACTAGTGTCGATACTTGCATTGACTTACTGATCCAATTCTGTCTTTTTTAGGTGGAGCCTATCCTTTGGTAAAAGAGTGGTTTGTGTATTTTGGAAATCCTCTCCAGCAGCCAGAGCTGATACAACCTGTAAAACCTTCTATTCCAGGTAGAATAAAAATGTGTTTAAATCTGAACCGAAATAATGATATCACTCAAATCAGGTTAGACAATACATCATCACATGTTTGATATGGAATCCAAAACGACTGTGGGGAGAACAAGCTAAAGTAGAAATGCTGCATGCCTGTAATTGCTTTTAATTACCCTGTGTAATTATAATAGGATTCAGCTTTGAGGTATAGGTTATTACTACGTCTTGTTAAACCCAGTGCTAATTCAAACATCAGTTCTAAAGCGCAAACTGTTTCTCAGAGGTTCTAAATACTGCTCTGAGACCAGGATAAGTGGTATATAGGGTCATATTACAATTCTTCTATTAAGCTGTTTGAGAGAATGTGTTAATGAAACTGGTGGAGAATATAAAAAAGGGTCATTTTTAGATCACTTGTGACAACCCAAAAGGAGAATCCAGCTTTCAGTAAAAAAAAAAATTAGGCTATCTTTTTCTGTGAAGCTGTTTCTACTGTCTTAAGCATCAAGTGTTTTGTGTGTTTTTATCTTCTGTCCTTTGGTAAAGGACATATTCATGAACACTCTTAGTGAAATTAGTGTTATGAGGAATGTGTTACATTTACGAGGAAGTATCGTACACTTTAGTGAAAAGATTGGGCACCGTATATGTCACTCGTCTCTTTATCACTAAATTGTTTCATGCAATACAAGTTCAGGATAGGAAGTAAACAGTACTGTATCAATTCTGTTATTTCAGAGGGAAAATTGTTCTAATTGTTCATTTGTCCATGCTATTGTAGTCATAACCCCTCTGTCTTTACTCTCACAGCTCTCTCTCTGTCTAGTAATATGCTGTCGTGTGGATCAGGAGCTCAGAGTTTTTTGTCTTTCATATGAAATGAATTAGTTACATTGATATACAATACCATTGACACTTGTTAAGAAAAATTATTATCTACTCAACTTTTTGAGAGTAATTACCAGCGCTTCTTCCCTCAGTACCCAGAACTTTCTGTAGCAGTCCTCGTTCTGACTGGTCTAAATCCAGATTCAGAAGTTGAAATGCATGCACTTTTTTTTTGTTGGTTAGGGATTGCTTTAGAACCTACTTGTTTTTAATTTTCTAGGGTTATAGTAAATTATCTTTTAAGGTATCCTAAGATTGTACATTTATCTTCATATTTGAAACTTGTATATTTAATGAGAGTCTTCAAATTCAAGGATGACAGAAAAACAGTTGCTTTTTACATATTCGCCTTTTCAAAATCCATTTGAAAGGAACTGTTTGGAAAGAAATGAGTTATACAGACGAAGTACAAACAAGGTTTCATTTAGTTTCACTGTCCGATACCCCTGATACAATATTAGGAGAGTCATTATCTAATTGACTTGATGATAGCATGAAATTGCTGTGAAATTGATATGAATATATGAATATGCAGGGTAAAAATTGATTGATCTGTCCTGTACAACTGTTTTATTTCAGCATACAATGGTCTGGGAACATGCATTTGTAAAACAAGCAAACAAAACTCAAGGAAGTATAAACCATAACTATGTAGTTACATTTCAGTTTGCATGGCAAATATACTGTATTTATTGTTGTGAAATTTTCCTTCCCAGATAGTATAGTACCTTCCTCCCTTCCTGGAGAGGAATCCACTTAATCTCAGGTACTCTGGTTCTACTGCTCTGCAAACATTGAACCCACCTTCATGTTGACAATAAACAGGATTTAAAATCACTATGTTTGTTTGTTTATAGCAACCACATAAGAGGAGTTTATAAAAACAGCATCTTCTCAGCCATAATCTTTACTAACTCAGTAATGAAAGGCTGTTCAGGCAGACTATTAAAAAAGGGGAGGAGGACTTCTAGTGTTTATTTTTAGTGCTCTGTTGTCATTCCTTCAGCGAACAAATATTTTTCTAAAATTTTTGCAGTCCATATTTGTATGCCTTACATTCGCTCATGCATCTTTTATTTTCCACAGCGTGACTTTCTAATTCACCAAATAAGGTTCTCCACAGCGCATCACATTTTTCAGACAGGGATCATATTTAGAGCTAAATTTAAAGAAGTTGTTATAGGAAGTTAGAGTTCAAAGCTGTCAATCAAGATCTGGTTACTCAAAAAGAGAAAAAACCTTACGAGAAACTATTTGAAAAATCACAGGTGCAATTAATCTGGGAAGGTTCTTTGTTTTATCTTTTTTGGAAGAAAATAACAATCTCATCATCACAACTACTTTAGAAGTATACTGAGAATATGTGGGAAATCCTGACTCTATTGAATTTGATTTAGATTAAAAAGTCTGAAGAGAGAATATTTGATATGAACTTTGAACTGTAATGCACATAACTGTAAATATCTGAAGTTTTACATTGATCTTAAAAAAAAAAGTAGATTTCCCACACATTTTTTGTGTGTGTATAAAACAACAGAATGATCTTGCATCTGAAAAGCTTGCAGGTGATAGTTTGAATGTTAGCTTTTTTTTTTTTTTAAACAAAGTATCAAATCCTACAGGCTGTGAGATAACAGCTTAAAATATATTTAAAATATATTGTGTATTACGTATATGTATTTTTCTTGAGAGACAATCTTCTGAATTAGCATCTCTGCTTGCTTGCATTCTCTCTCTTTCTCCCTTCTGGAATGTTTCCTTTCAGTTGAATGCATGTGATCATGATGTTTCCCACACATTGACAGAGCAGCACTTAAATTGATAAAAAAGTCTCTGAGAAATTAATTTTTTTAGAAGATCTGTGTTCCAAAAAAATATTGTTTAACATCCATATCTTGTGAACATAGCGGATCTATTTGATATGTGTGCAGTTTATGGAACAGAGGAAGTTTTAAAGTCTTTGGTGGAAATGTACCGATTCTGCTTTTCATTTTATTTCTGAAAAAGTGTAGGATGTTGTAGCTTCATACCACAGGAGTTTGGATGTACTTTCAGTATTCTAATCATTGCATCTTACAGGAATATGTCGTGAATATGCTTATTGTAAAAATGCTCTCTCTGGAATGCTGCTTTCATAGTCAGATTTAATTGTCATTTGGGTTTATGGCATCTTTAAAATTGGCCACAGTTTTTGACAAGTTAATGTTGAATGTTCCTAGCAAGTACATTTTTATAAACTTGTTTTTATTGCTCAGTATCTACATGAAAATGTAAAACAATGAAGTGTTAAAGTTCTATTACTGGTGTTATAAAATGAAATTTCAATAACCATTACTTCAAATATACATGAACAGTTAATTTTATACATTTATATCGATATACACAATGATGATGTTTTAAGTTGGTATAAATGTGAAGATCACCTTTGTATAAGCCTTATACAGTTTTCACACAGTTTTGTGCATGTTGAGAATAACCATAAGCATATGCAGTGTTTGAATATCTCTCTGTAATTCATAGGAACTTGTGGTTCGTATGACCCCAGTAGGACAGATAATTTTCTCATGACTAATCTTTACAGTAAAGATGTATTGATTATGTATATGTAAGTATGTTTTATTCCGTTTCCCTTTTGTTACTCAGGTTTGGGTTTTTTAGGTTAATTTAGTAAATACTTAGATGTGTTCAGAAAGTAAAAGATTTCTCCTCCCTATCCAAGTAAATATATCTCTTTCAGAAATGTTTTCTGATTGATGTAAAGTATGTAGTGAGGATGTAACTAGAACAAAGAACAGTTTTGAGGATCTACTGTATATGAATCTTGGATCTTTTGTTGACTACGCATGATTGGAGAGCCATTAAACTTCAGTGTATTTGTTTCTTTGTTTTACTTATCTTTCATTTAAGGGTTAATGTAATGGCTTGCTCTTGGGTATTACATTGAATTTAATTACTTGTAGAAGAGATCCTCTCAGAAAAATAACGCTTTTTTGGTATGTTCCAAAAGGCGATAGCATCAAGTTTTCTTTCCCAGAGTAAATAACTCATAATTCATCACTACCTCTTTTTCCCAGGCACAAGTAGATGTTGTTTCTGAAAGTATAAGAAACTGTTTATGGAAGAGATGTCTTGAATTTTTTGTTGAGCTCTCTCAATATAGATATGTAATCTTGATTATTGATGTAGTTCATGGTTTTACTCTGAAGAAAGAAGGATTTCTATTATTAGGTATACCCCTGGATGCAATTAATGTTAAAAAAACTGTACAGATGGAAAGAGTACTTTCCTTTAACTGATTCTTGGCATGTCCCTTCATATGCAGCTGATTGGGAACCTTCTGGAAAGCACAAGCCATCAAAACTATTTGAGTTTACCCATGTAAAAATTGTCTCTCACATTAAGGTTGTTTAGCCCACACATTAAGGTTGCTTAGCCTTGGTAGGAGAAGTTGGCTTTGTTTTGGTTTTATGCATGTTATATTTACTTTTCTTCCTGGAAGTCAGTCTCTGCTGTTCTTTTTTTTTTTTTTTTTTTTTTCTTAAGGCAGTAATTACCAGTATCAAAACCAGTAATCTGAGTCTTATTTGCTGTCTGTACTGACCCACTCACTGCCAGTATTTGTGTTATCACTAACCTGCATTTCTAACTCAAATCAAGCAACTGGTATTTTTTTCTTAATATATGTATTTCACTACAAAATAAGGTTAGAAACTTACAGACTGTATGATGGTAGTTCTTTACACAGTTAAAACTGTTGACGGGAGAGTAAGTCTTAAAAATAGTAAAAGAAACATCCATCAGGGAGATGAAGAAAGAAAATACTAACTTCTCTTCTAGTTTCCCCCTCTCCAAAGAATTAGTACCATTTGGTTAATGGGCTTTCTTGGCTAAATAAACATCGTCTATGTAGATTTCAGCACCTTGTCACTTTAACCATTTATTATCACCAAGTGTTCCTAACTGGACTACAGCTGCTGCATGTCACACAAAAAAGGAAAAGGTGTTACCAAATGTAGCTTAATTACTCCACATTTAAAATTCACACCTCATTTTATTTAACTACAGAAGCAGCAGTAGTTTATAGGAGGATTCTGCATTTAATTGGGATTCTTGGGCATAACCAGTGAGCTATTCTGTTATTTCACATCCATTAGTGTTTATTTTGATAATGGATTAAGTATAATTTAAATGGGGAGCAAATTTTACATTAGTTCACATGTGTCATAAGTTGGGAGATGGCAACATGGGGTGAATATTAAGGATTTAGAGACCTGGGTGAATGATACTATAGAAAGTCTGAAAAGATACATTATACATAACTCATGACAGTTCTTTTATGTGTGTTTGCAACAGCATTTCATACAGTAGCCTAAGGAGTGCAAAATACCAGATAGCCTTGGTTTTTGTTCCCAAACTGGAGCCTACTGCAGAGGAGTCGTACCAGCACGGTGTTTTGTGGAGAATGCATGTTTGCCAGCAAATGGCATGGGTGACCTGTTTGTTCATTAAAACAGCTGATTATAAGAGAGGTAATGTGAGTGTCCTTCAAGGACCCCTGATGCACTAGCTCTGGGGAAGAGAGAGGAGAAACAGATACGGTTATTTTCTGCTGAATCACTATTTTATGATGAAGCTAATCTCATTTAATGCTGTGGATCTCCAAGGGAAAGGACACACTCATAGGCAAACTTTGTTCCTGCAGAGGGTAAAAGCCTGCTGTCTCAAAGTTGTCTATATTTTTGTAACAATTGAATTCAGTCCACTCTGCTTAACAATGCCTGCATTCAATACAATTTGTTTAAATTACAGACCTTAATTTTTTTTGTTAATTTTTTTTTTTCAAATGCCAAGTTTTGTCAAATACATTTTATTTTCAAATCTGTGGTCCTTGCAAGTGCCGAGAGCAGATCGGTTGTTTCCTTTCAGATTGTAATGAGGTAGGCATGTTTTATCTTGTTGCTGCCAAGATAAAATAATGGATTTCTTTTGTAGGTGGAACACCTAATTTGAAAACACTGTGGTTTGCCAAAGGACCTGATGTGGAAAGGCAACGGTATAGTACATTTCTGGCATGCTTTCACCTTCAGGACGGGATGGAGGAGCTCCAAGCTCTAGAAGCACCTGTTGCAGCATTCTGCTGCTTGCTGGCCTATCTTATAATGCAGGTAACTGGGACAGTTGCTTTTTCTTCATCTGCCAGTCCTGATAGATGTGATTGACTAATAAACTCTTTCTTGCTAGCCTATGCTGGATTTTTCTCTTAATCTTTACTGTAGGCATAGTTGATCAAATATAATAGTACTGCATTACAGTATTTTTAATGACTCCATTTAACATGCATCATCCTGTTCAAGAAACACTTGGGTGTTTTTAGTAGTTAATCATAATTCTCACGTGCCCATGACAAAGCCCCTTGGGCAGTTTACCAGAGGGAGTATAAACTGAGGGATTTCCTCTGCTTTTTGGGACCTGGTTGCAAATTAAAGCTTCTCTTTTTGTGTTCCCTTTTTGTCTCACAGGAAGACATTCCCTCAGGTGACTATGCAGGCTGTGCAAACAGACAATATAAATATTTAGTCAGCTCTCACTACTTTTTCACACCATTGTGTCAGTCTACTCAGTTTCAGGCCAGAGTTGAGGTTATGGCGCTTCTCATTAAATTCTGAATAATTGGGGATCATTAGGTAGCAGTTCTGTTATAATTCCAAACATTTGGCAGCCTGCAGACTACCTTAATTGGAATAAAAAGGAACACAAGATTAAATGCAATATTGCTTCATTATTTACATTTCTCTTAGGTATTTCATATATTGTCTGTACTTGCCACCTTTCAAATACTGATCTCACAAGCAGATCTTCCTCTCTGAGGATGAGAAAATTATAATACCTTTATCTGATCTGATAGGCTCTGATGCACTTTTACTTACACTGAACTGCATTTTATCTTTTGCTTTTTCAGACTTCGCTTTTCTCAGTAACAGATTTATACTGGTGTGTGACACATGAAAACAAGTTCTCCCTGACTTTTCCTTTCTTTTTTCTTCATACGTGTTTGCTCAAACTTAGATAATGCATTGAGGAAGTACATAGGAGAATTACACAAATGATCCATATAGCTCTTTTTTTTCTTTAATTTTTGTATAGCAGAATAGAAATGGAAATTTTCTTGAAGATGAAACTCATTAAACATCATTTCATGCCTTGCAGTTTCGATTCAGCAAGGTACATATCATGTACTTAGCTTTTAACATATTTGGATATGAAATCACATTTTCATTTATTTATTTTCCCTGTTTCATTTATTTATTGTGCTATCCTGTGCATCCTTTCATAGCATGATTACTAAGTTATTTGAGAAGGAGTTTTTTTAATGGGATTAAGAGGGGTAACAGGACAGAACACCTACAGAAATATGGATTTACTGAGTCTTGATCACATCATGTTAATGGGAAAAAAATATGTTAGGGATATGGTTTTCAAAACTTATTATCCAATGGCTAATGTTAAAAACAGAGATGAAAACAGTGTTGCAGCTCCTGTTTTCAACAAGAATAATAGTGGGGGAGATCATGCAAAGGGCTTAGTTTGATGGAAGGTTTTTCATGGCAGTGCCAGTTTTTCAACACCTGTCCCATTTTCCTGATTTTCTTCTGCCCTCTGAGTTGCACTGATAAAATCTACCCTGGAACCAGACTACAGAACTGATTTGGATGACAATGTTTTTCATTGCTGAGCTGTTCTAAACTTTGGTTAGTTCTCTGATATTGTCCATTTGTTTTCTTCAGATGTTCAAGAGAAAAACATGAGACCAAGAGTGTCAGCAGCTGTGCTTTGAGCTGGCCATAATGCTTCCATTTGTTTTATAGCTGAGAAAACAATACTTGTCTCACTGTGACCTAATTCTTGTCTGTACACTTTAGCCTTACATTTGTATTAGAGAGAGAAGGTGGATTGTTACCCCAAAGGTCACTTAAGTTGAGCAATTGTAGGTTGCCTTGAAGCAGGCTAACATCCTTTCCTTCAGGTCATATGAGGGAGAAATAAACTTCTTAAAAATTTCATTATTTATAATTTAATCTAGACTAAAACCTAGGTTTTTGCAGGAACCAGCATACTGATCAACCCACCTGACTTCCTTAAAATACATGCAAGTATTTAATGAAAACTTCAGACGCATTTTTTTAAAGTGAGAAAAAATTTCCAATAGGCAAATCTTAAATATGCAAAGAAAGTGTCGATTTGAAGAGCAATCTTTTCAGTGAGGATGCTTTTCAAATATCCTCCAAATTAAGAACAAAAATAGTGAAAAAAATTGCAAAATAATAGGTCTGTCTTTAAAGTTGGGGAAAGGAGTGAGTGAGTTTGAGTATCAAACTGTGAGGCCTCAAAAGAAAAGGGAAATTTCTGTTTCAAGCTCTTAACAGTTTTGGAAGAAATCTGACAATGAAAGTGTGATAACTCACCAAGTTCAGTTACTGAATAAAATATTTCTCTAAAGAAGTGCTTTGATATTCATAAGCATTTTGGTTGATCTACTCTGTTAGGGACATTTCCTTGCTGTTGTACTTGCAGGCAATCTTTGACTTACTTAGGACGAAATTGTTCAAGTATTAAGAATTGTTTTGTAGATGGAAGTCACTTTTTCTGTTACTGCAATGTATAAAACATGCAGGTTTAGTAAACCTCGCTTGTTGTCATCTACACAAAGGTGACACCTGGCTTGAAATACAGGGTAAAGTAGGGCCATTATCAGATCTTAGCAGCCAGGTGGAGTTAATGAATACCAAGGAGCATTTTGAAAGCTTAAAACTTTTCTCATACCCCTCACATTCTTGGGTTTTATGCAAGTTTTAACAGCTTTGTAGAGTGGAAAGTATTTTACAGTGGGACAAGCAGCAAGGCCTGATTAAAAAAAAAAATAATTCTCAGTAGTTGTTGAATAATTTTTATCTTGAGGAGGAAAGAATGGGTTACTCCTCCTAAGCAAATAAATGAATGAAGCAATTATAGATGGTTTCTTAGTGTCTGTTATTTTGGTTTTTTCCCTATTGATTTATATCAATACTTTTGGGGGGGGGGGTTTTCTCTCCTTTTTTTCTGTCACTTTTTTATTTTAATAGCCTTAATAGAAACTATTAACAGATTGAAATAGGATGTGGGCAACATTCCCTGAAAATCAAGCTGTTAAAAGAAAGGCAATGCAGAGTTTTAGGCAGCCTTTTAATTGTACTGTAAGCCCCCAATGCACATTTCCACACTTTGCAAGAGAAACCTTCCCTCAACTTCTAACTGGTAAAGAATTGTAACGCTTTATAGATCTCATTTAAAGCCCTCTTTATAGCCTCAACATTTGTAACAGATATTCGGTCTTGGTGCACATGTATAATCTATAGTGTTCTTATAAGAGGAAGCAAGTGATTGGAACTGGACTGGTAGCGTCAGGGAATCAGCCCAGCTGTCTAAAGGCACTGTCCTTCTCCTGAGGTGACCGTGTGCCTCTGTAGAATCTCAGAATACGTTTTCACAACAGTAAATATCCCCATTCTCCCTTTTCTGATAGAAGTATTAAAGTGAACAGTTATATGAATTTAGATTTTTTCTTTATGTTTTTCCACTTGAATTTTACGTTTAGTTTTCTTATAGTTTTGAGCTCTTCCCACTTCAATATGTAGGCTAAAAAAACTAAAAGAATCAAAATATGTTTTGTTAAAACCTGAAATTTAGCTTAAAATAGGTAATTGAAATATGTTAGATTATTTTTAAAGTTTCCAACAAATAACCATGTAATCATTTGAAAGAAATCCTAATGGTCATCACATCTGTGGATCATTGAGGTGGTTTTTATTCTGGGTCTTTATAAAGCAATTCATAGAGTTTTTTTAAATCTTATTTTTTTACTATGCTTAGTGTTATGGAGATGAAGAAATTTCCTGTTATTAAGAAACTTCAAGGGAAGAGGAGGAGGGAATACATGAAGGGTGGGCATTTTGTTTGGAGTCAATTTTCAGAAAGTTCTTCTTCAGAACCTTCAGATAATGTGTTATTTTTTCATCTATTTTTAGGTCAGTAGCCTCTCTCTGGAGGACTTAAATGCATTTGTGGCGCTCATTCTCTGCCTCAAAGGGAAGTCAGCTGCTCAACTGGCAGGTTTGCAGGTATTGATTGGAATAATTGAGTAACATAGAACGTTGATGGTAACTTTGGGATAAATATTTTTGGAGAAAATTCTTCTATATTAATTTTTTTCAGATATGGGAACTGAGGGTGATGGAAAATATATAGGCCTTTAATTGCTACAGTTCATGCGAATACATGCATTTGTTAATCATGTAAAAAAAAAAAGTAGAAAGGACAGTTTCTAGTGGTTGCAATCCTGGGGTGCGCGAATTAGTTTCAGATTTCTTCATGACTTGGCTTCCAGACTTCCAGCTGATGGAAAATTTGTAATGGTGAATCCTGTCTTGCAACACTTCTTCATTCTTTTTTTCCTGAGGAGGATAGTGTTTTGGGACATAAGTTGTATGAAAATTGCTACACTAAATACAGTTTAGTATTACTACTTGTGAGAGAACATAAACATAACATAAACCTAACCAGAAAAAATGTCGTTACCCACTGTAGTGAAGACCTTTTGGCTCACAGTATTCTATAATTATTCAGGAGTTCTTTTTAAAATTTTTATATACTCTGCGCAAATCTGTTTTTTTCCTTTCCTGTCGTCTTGAATCTTGGTTATTGCAGTAGACCCATCTAAATAGTTCTTCTTGTGTATCTAATTATACAAGAGTATTTTCAATCTCATGGCTTGAGATTGTATTCAAAGTATTAGCAGTGTACAGCACAGACTGCACATGTCAATGGCTATTTGAGTTGTGGGTTTACTTAAAAGTAAGGGGGAAAGGTTAGAAATGGTTGGAACCTTAACGTATCTTCACTCTGAAAATCTTGCTTATATTTCCAATAAATTCTCTGTTACTTTAAACAGTCCATGTTAGAGTTTTACAAGTACTTTTTGCCGATAGCAAGATAAACCAACAACTCCTGTTACTATCCATTCATTTCTAGTGCACGGGGACCAAAATAACAAAACCCGTGTGATTCCAGTTTCATTATTTGCTTCATTATAATAGACAAAGTCCATCCTCCTATCATTTTTTCCAAATTCATCACAGATTTGTTCTGCAGCTGGTCAAGTGTTAGATCTGTGTAATAAAAAGGAAGCAATGAGATGAAGGCAATATGGACCACAGCAAAAATGTAGGATTTATTTCTGTGGAAATTGCACATAGTGTTGCACTTAACATTGAGAGTATCATTATTTTATGAAGTCTCCTTGGCAGTCATTCAGTAAAAGCATAAAGGAAGCTAAGCGTAAGCAGGAAGTGTTGAAACAGTTTGTTTATAGATGCACTTACAGGTACTATTATCTAAGTTTCTAAAGCGCTTGGAAGTTTATTCTGTTTGAATTAGATGTCTTTGTACGATTCATTTGTGTTGCAGTTCTATGAAATTATAAATCTGAGCATTGCTTCCAAACACGTAGTATTAATCAAGTTATCCTACTTATTAGCAGTCATTCTACTAATTCAAAGTTGTTCACAAAATTTTGTAACTTTCCCACAAAGCTAATGGCAGATCAGATGTTGTCTGCTCACGCACTGTTGACATAAAAGTACGTGAAATGTGAAGCTAGTCTTACACTGTATCACGTATCACTCTATGAAGTGGATGGTATGTTGTTGGAATTGACTTAGACATGCTATTGGTAGGTACTTTGCAAAGTTTACATCATTCTGCTGCTTATGTAAGCGCTTCATGCACTGATGCATAATGCCTTCTGCTATGCTAAAAATCCAAGAAAAGATTCATATAATGCAGTTCAAATGTTTGTATCAGGCTATTTTGTAGAGCATTTCCTCCTCTTACTCTATTGAAATTCATGGTAGTGCCTTTGGTAGTAGTTTGAGCCAGAATAAATCCCTCTGAAGAGCATAGCAAGGAAAGATTTTGGTCTTTTTCCTTTCTGAGGTTGTGAATAGGTGAGTAACAGTTTCAAAACTTTCTTCTGTTGCCTTCAAATTAACCTCCCTTCCTGTGTTTTGATGACCTGGATCTCCCAGTAAAAAATAGTTGCTATTGCTTAGCTCATTATGTATCTCTGACTTGTCAAGCTATATCAAGAGAGGATGTTATGTTGTGTTAATTGCCATAAAAATACTCATTTTTTTCTTCATACATAAGCCATCTATAATTTTGTGGTAGCAGCGGGATCAATTTGAAGATTCGTATGAGGTTAATCTCACTTCACAGGAAGAGTAAAAAATGGTCTGTTTCTTGTTTCTGTGCTTCTGAAATGTGGTGTGTAGATGAATTTAATAATGTCCTGTGAATTTTCTCTTGGAAGGGCAGGAGACTAAACTAATAGAATCTCTTATAAAAATATTCTAAAAATAATGATCAATAAAGCAAGCTTTCTGACCATTGTAATTCAAGCATCTCATTTTCAAGATTCCATCTCAGAATAGCTTGAACTGGTTTTACCCATTACTATGTTTCTTTAGTAGTTTTACAAAATTTGAGTTATGCTGTTAAGTTATATTAATAGTAAATAGCGTATTAATAGGTATTTAATAGCTTAATTTTCTAGGTATTTGTGTTTAAAATCAAAGGATCCAAGTGCAATGAATTACACTAGTACATAGCTAATTAATATATGGGGTTTATAGTAGGAAAACAGAGGAATAAAGTTTAATATGTTTACCATACTTTTTCTCCCACACTGAGAAGTTAATTGTGATCCCTAGAAACAACTTAGTAAGAGGGCTTTCAAGGAGGTTATGTTAAACGTAGTCAGCATCTGCAAAATTTTATGAAAATGCTTGCTCATTTGCAATTTTGGACTTAACACTATATTATTATTTTAAATGTAGAAAAATGTTTACTCCTTGTAAACAGTTCTGTGAAGAAGAGTGATTTTAAAAAATTGCTCTGTTTCTGCAAAGGAGTCCATTAGCAAATACGTTTTAGCAGAAGAAAACTTAACTTCCACCGTGAAGTATGAGAGAAAATGTAAATAGAGCCTGTTCTTCTGATAGGATGAAGAGAACTTTTCAGCCTTCACTTTCAAATCTGCTTTCTGATATGCTAGTCATATTTAATGAGATCCATAAACCCACAAGTTTATGAAACAGAAATGTCCATGGTTTGAATAAAGTGGGTTAAAGCCATAAAAAATATCGTTTATCTCATGCTGAAAGAGAGCGAGCTGTGGACGTATAACTAAAATGCACATTAAATAGTTACTTTCTGAGAATAACATAATGTTTATACATGGAGATTTGATTATTTTTCAAGATCGGTGGTTTCAAAATACCAAAATGTGCACACGATAGAGAAGAGATTTTATACATTCTTTTTCTCATGCGTTTTTTTCTAGTTTCCTGGTGCCCCCCTTATATGGTAGATCAACATTCTGCTTTGCCCAAGCCTCCCGTAGAGCTTATACATAAGGTCAGAATTAAATTTTGGACTCCAGGTTGCCTATTTCCCTTCTTTCTATTTTAATCTGGTGTGTGGTTTTGACAAAAAGCCCACAGAGCCATCAGTCTAACTTTGAGGCCACCGTGGAGAAAAGAGGCACCAGCAGTCATGCTTGCAGTCTTGTTTCTTATATTGTGCTGGCCCTGGTTGTTTACAAGTGCAATTATAGATCATCTGTCACCTCTAATGCTTGTAAAATATTGCCCAAACAGGAGAGGCCGTAATGACTTATAAACACAAATACATTTTTTCTAAGATTTCTCTAAATACGTCAATATATGAAAAAATTGTATTGGAGGTGTAAAGTTATGAATCACATCCCTTCTGAAAGTTGTGGCCAAAAATGAGTTGGGAAAATTTGGTTAAAAGGGAAATACACCTGAAAATGAGTAGATGAAATTTGGGTCCTGTTAAATGGTTTTAAAAAGTGAAATGTATGTCAGAAAATACGAATCCAACATTAGTAGCAGATGCATGGGTGGACATGCACATCACTTCTGGAATTTATGGCATTTGCAAGCTCTTCACAGCTTTACCATGAAATATCCAGTTATGCCAGAATATCTGCTTTGAAGTAATTACATCTTTTGTGCCACCCGTAAAAGGAACGGTTTGGCTGTGTATGAGGTATAAGAAAGTCAAGCACTACAGTGTATTCCTTCAATTTTTCAAGTGTTTTCAGATATTTAAAAAGTATTACTGACATAAAATGAGCACAGTCATTTTAGATCTTAAATTATAAGCTCCAGAGAGTCTGTACAATTTGATTGCAAATGAACTTTCACAAAATATATATCAAGTATTAATTAGTTTTTGGAATAATAAAAAAATACTCAGCAAACTAGTTAACTAGTTCGATAGGCAGAAGTAGCTTTAGAAAGAATTGTAGTTGTATGTAACCTTTGAATATTTCCTGTTGTGCAGTGCCATAGAAGCAGAATTAGCTTGGTAATGGTATCGTACCAATATTACACAAGATATTCTTCTCTGAATATTTTCCTGAGGGGTACTTAGCCACATATACAAAAAAGCAGTATGTTTTAGAGTAGAGTGTGGGTATCTTGGTTAGGGTCCCTCAAATTTCAGAAAGATGTTGCTAAATCCATTATGTATTTTTAAACTCAGTATTCTTTCTCCCTTGCCATGCAGACATAAAAGCATAAATAATACCCAGATTCCGAACATTCCAGAATTTCAATCTTCTGACCTATTTGGCAAGCCAAGCTACATTTGTCAACACCATTAGATGTGATCCTTTTCAGACAGACTCCAAACAGCCTTTGTGAGCCATCTATATTTTTCAAAATATAATTATTTTAAAAAAAAAAAATCCTTTTTCCCTCAGGGAGTTTATGTTTATTGTGCCTGTGTGACTGTTTTCTAATAAATATTTGCTTGAAGTCTAACTGGATTGAGGAAAACATAAAATATGAGTAAGAACACTGTAAAGATATCACAGATAAACCTCTCCTATGTACTCAGGACCCGCTTCTGTGATGTACGTTGGTATTAACTAAATTGGAATTTGAGTGCGTTCCCAGATGCTTTACTGAATCAGGGCTTTATATTCCCACAAAATTTGCATGTGTCAAAGTGTTTTTAAAATGATAGGTGA